TGGGGAGCGAGCTGGTCTAGTGGTTAGAGCCAGGATCCCTAAGGTTCCGGGTTCAAATCCCACCAAATCACCAATGGATTTTATCTAATTGATAATGCCGCAACCCCAAGGTCTAGCCTGTAGTAATGTGAAAAACAATCCCGAACTCGTGCCTAGCGTCCTAAAACCAAAAGAAAATTTAAAAAGTATTGTGTTTGACTATCTGTAAACACATTCAAGTACAACCAATAAACAATGTATATAACTGAATTGAAATGTTACTATCTTGCTCGGCCGAGGTAATAAACTTGCGTTGGAAGATAAGTCGTAAACATCAGCGAAGACATGACAGTATGTCCCAAGTCTGGCTATAAAGTATTGTCACTTGGCAGGAGACTGTTAGACTGTTGGCTAGACTATAGTTAGGGTTCAACATACTCTGTTCATCCTGTATGAAGCTTTAGAGAATCGGAATCAGAATTTACATTGAATATTAATACTTTTTGTTTTTTAAAGATATTGTATTAATGTAGCCGATAAGTTTTTTTACAATCCCCTGCCGCAGAAACAGCCTGTAGACTAAGCGAATTTCCATTTGTCTGATTGGATTTTTACAATAATATTACTGTATCCCCTGCTTTTTCTGTTTTTCCAGGTCTCTTCAAATTCATGGTTTTTTCCCTGTTGGAAGGCCTATACACACCCTGTTGACTAAGCGAGTTTCCCTTTATCTGATTGGATTGTTATTTTAAATACCTTAAACTTTACAGATTTATTCCCTTTTCGATAACTAAGGTTTAACGAGTACCTACTTAAGTTTCCTAAGGGTGGGAAATAATGTTTGATTTTAAGTAGGCCTAAATATTAATAGTCTGGTTAAGATATATCCATAAAGCAGCAAACTACAACAATTTATTTTGCATAAGATATTTAGCCGACTAAATTATTTTGTTTGATAAACATATTTTCATCCTAAATGCACTGACCAAATTAATACATAAGTTAGCCCTATACTAATTGATTGCTAATTAATACTAGTTAATTGGTAGTAATTTTTGTAACGGCCCAAGGGAAACACTATTTCGAGAAACTCAACTCTTCCAAAAATTGCTTAAAATAGTTCTAGACTACTAAAAATATCATTTTATTTGTATTTGAATGATTAATTAATTGGACATAAGAAAATGAGTTGTACGTAGGCCTACTGATATACTTTTATTGTTTAATCTGTGCCTCAATACTTATTAAAAAATTGCGACCAAAGAAAACTGATCATAACGAGCGTATAAATGTTTAAATTTATTATTAAAGTAATTAAATAGGTAACCTATTTCATAACTAGGTCTAGTTGGTGGGTATATATTTTAATTCTCAATTCAGTAAATGTAAAAGTTTTGTTATATTTATTATGAACAAATCGAGTACTTCTTGCCAAATCGACCACTTTTAATGTAATAACTAGGGAATGTGGTTACATTATATTACAATGTAGTCCCCGGAGATGTAAACCGTGTAACTGTGGTAGTCGAATATTAATTTTTTATGTATTGGAAATTAACTAGGGTGGTTACATTATATTACAATGTAGGCTAGTCTACGAAGATGTAAACCGTGAAACTGTATCCACTGTGGCAGTCAAATATAATTTTTTAGGTATTGGGAATTAACTAAACTGTGGTTACATTAATGTAGTCTCCGGACATGTCAACCATGTAGGCCACCTGTATCTACAGTGGTAGTCAAATATTTATTTTTTAAGTTTTGTCTACATTTTTATGCATGCATGTTTAATGTTTTGACGACCTCAGTATGAGAGAAGATTGAGTTTTCCTGATCCGAAGAAAGTGACATGGTCGCCAAAACTATCGTCATCCACCCATAAAGGAAGTACCTACCAAATCACAAGTTGACAAAAACAAGGTAAATTAACCTGTTATCTTCTGAAAATAATTTATACTCGTAAGTCCAAAAGACAAATGCACCCTACTGTGGAAAGTATGATTTATTAGTTTAACCGGTTTTGTTCATGGTTTGACCAAAATTAGCAAGTATAAATAAGCTTACTCGGTACTGTACTTGCATTGAATGTTTGTAAATATTTCTTCTTGATCCTTATTGTCCGGTTCAAAATTGGTTTGTAGAAAATCAAGTGAATGTCAAACTAATCAACTAACAACTGCAGGAAAACTAGCAATATTAGGGCCTAGTTTAACAAATTTACGATAGGTTACTAACTAGAGAGTATCACACACAAAAGCTGTAGGGGGCCTATTGCAATTTAAATTAACTTTATTCTTCAATGAGCTGCTCACCACAAAGACAGGCCCCAAAATGATCGTGTAACACACTTACTCGCACACATATCACTTAAGACTAAAATAGGAGAAAGAAGATTACGATTTCCTAGTCTCCAGGCCTACGACTAGAGGACCAAAGATCGGATAAGATGTTGGAGTGGTTGTGTACATTTAGCGACATTAGTCATTATGGTTTGCTGTAGTCTGCTAACTTAGTAGCCTAATAGGTTAATAGGTATCACAGTACTCAAATATGTCAAATAAGTTGGGAAAAATGAAGGGAAACGCATTTTGCAATAGGCCTAATGCCAAACCATATTCTAAGGCAGGTGATGCAAATAACTTATAGCTCCAAATACCAAGCTAGCAAACGCTCATACACTTGAGTTTGGATATCTAAAAGTCTGATTAACATTCCACGGCTACAAACCAGCAGCAAATGAGTTTTTCTAACCAAACTTAACTGATGGAATGTACTTACGTGATTTGAACCCAGCGGGTATGAGAAATGAATAAAACTAGGCCTATGTGCTATGTCTTTTAAAATTTCTTAAACATTGTTTTTGGTAAGGTTTATGCATACACAAAATCTAAAGACTAGGCTAAATCTATAACAATAACAGTAAGGACTAGTAAGTTGAACACTCTTTAAAGAGTCAGGGCTTTGGGCTGTTACATTATTTATGTACATTTTGAGTAAGCTAACAAATTTAAGTTGTATAAATATCTATAATTAGCAATATTAACTTAAAATTATTTCAACGGCACATAGAAGAAATTCTCTAAGTTTAAAACTTAAGCCTAATTGAGTTGAGTATTTACTAAAGAATTGTAAAGTTTACTCCCTAATCCTGAAACATAAAATTCTGACTTACCTCACAAATAAATCAGCTACCAGATCAAATCATGCAACACACAAACTTAATACACAATCAAATTATTATAATTACAAATTAAATTCCCAATAATTTAAACCAAATACATCACAAACACCACAACCAAAACGTCAGATTAGGTTAGCACTGCCTTCTAAATCGTTGTTCCAACTCCAACCAACAGCCTACATTACCGCCTTCTATTATCACGGCTAGATCTAGTAACATACTATAACTAACAATTCATACGTAAATATAATCAATCAATCAATATCTAATCAATTTTTACAAGGGGTTCAAAAGAGTGGAATGGGAGAGGGGTAATATTATGTTCTAGAATTTAAAAGGTGTTTGTAAGTTCATCCATAACCTCCTCTAAATATTATTACAGATGAAGGAAAAATCCCCTCGTCTGGAATTTAGAAACATGTATAAAATGTACATCCACATACTAAATCAACCCCCCCCCCCCTAATATTTCTGTATCAAAAACACTTCGGTTACATAAGACTATATTGCAAAGTATTTTACTATAGTTCGGCCGCTTAGAAAGCGACCTCCTCCAACATTGGTTTAGCATTAGCGCGCAGGTCGTTTTCTAAGCGGCCGAACTATACCTTCCTATTATTGTATTATTTTACTCACAAAATTAATTTATCAGTAACAGATTTTCTCCCAGGAGAGTTATAACAATCCCCCAACCAAAAAAGGGCCTGGGGGCGGCCAAAGGCGAGTACGTCATATATTTTTGAATTAGAGGAGGGGAGGATATTTCTTCCTGAAGGTGTATTAAATTTTCGTCACCCCCTAGTCCCTAGCACTACTCTAACCCGAGGGCATTTTCAAATATTTTTGTTAAGGAATTATTTAAACCCATGATATTTGTGATGTAGTATAGTATAATGTATACTTATGCTGTCTGATGCCAAATGTTAGGAGTTTATATTTTAATAGATATCGTCATTTAAAGACTCGACTAAAAATACACGATTACGAATCCAATAAAACCCAAACTGGTACTGTACTATGTTTCATCCTTATTTAACGCACCGCCACATGGGTAGCTTAGTTGGATGGAACTGGATTTTTGACTATATTTTAACCGAACATTATTCTCGTTCAATGATAGGAACCTCGCGATCTTCCCCTGACTGAGACCACCTGGCCAGTAGCAGTAGCTGAGACCAAGAAATAATATAAAGATATTTAAATGTTCCATTCAAAACACCAAAGTTTTTCTTAAGGGGTTTTCTTTTGTAAGGGGGTGAATATTTTGTATAAAACATATTCCTAAAGCGTTACCTTTGCTTTATACCTTTAGATATTTTCCTCCATACTTAAAAATAACTCCACTTTTCTTCCAGCACCCAACCATTTTACCACTTTCAAAACACTCCCCCTACTATCCCTCATACTCTGACTAGCCACCAACCCAGTGTGCTGTTGTTAGCACCATTTTAATTCACTTGCTTACACCTATTTTTTATCATGCCAAACTGAAAGAGCAACTTATAAACTACACAACATCTTTCATGTCTTTACTATCATAGCATAGAATGAATAAACTCCATCTATTATTCTATGATCATAGTATGGCAACTAAGAATAAAAGAACTTAATAGGAACATTTATCAGAGACTCCTTCAAGTAGTCCATATTGACGAAGGTCTCCTTCAGTATCCAAAGTCAATGACCAGTCTGGTTTAACTTGAGATGGTAAAGATACTATCAAACCAGTAGATGTTAAGGTTTGCATAGCACAGCACTTGCACAAAGTTTTGCACTTGGATTACAACAATATAGACAAGCAATCAATCAAATACAGGGAAGGAAAGTGATTACCAAGACAAAATACATAGTAACCTTTAATACATAAAATATAATCCTTCATGCATACAGAAAATAGCTTGGAAAAAATACAAAAGTTTTGACTAGGTTTCACTGTAGAAAAAATAACTAAACAACATGTAATGCACCTAGTAGTGATCCAATTTCAAAGTAAATGCATATAAAACTTGTTTGAATAAAAACATTAAATCAATACACTCTGGTCTTGTCCATTCACGAATCTAATAGGTTGGGATCAAGGCCTTCTTGTTGCATTTTTAGCTTGACAGCAGGTAAAGGGACTCCGACTTGAATCATTTTGAAAAACCTGGCGAGTGCAGGGTCTTTAGCCGCTGATGGTGTCGCACTCTCATTCTCTGCCGACTGACTCTCAACAGGTTGTGACGATCCGGGCTACACAAACAAATCAAAATATAGTTTTAAGTACTGTATTAATTAAAATTCAGTAGATGTTTTTGAGAAAAGCTGTATTCACACAAAGCCAGTCGGCAAGCAGGTTACCTGCCTCAGGTAACTTGAAGTACACCAAAGCCGCGTTTACACGAGCAGTGACGTAGCCAGGGGGGGTCCTGGGGGTCTGGACCCCCCTCTTCCGGTCTTAAATATAATATATTTTTGTTAAATTAAATGTAAAATTATATAATCATATACCATTGACGTTGGGGTTGATTGTTTTCAATGCCAAGAGAGCTAAAAAAGACCGTTTTAGGGCCTAGGGACTATATTTTTAAAATTTTTCCCGGATCCCCCTTTTTACCTGGGGCCCCCGGTCGGTCGACCCCCCTATTTTGAAATCCTGGCTACGTCACTGACACGAGGCCAGTAAAGCAGGTAGGTTACTTGCTTCCTATGTATTTCAAGTTACCTGAGGCAAGTAACCTGCCCGCCAACTAACTTCACGAAAGAAACACAGCTTATAGGCAGGACGCAGGTAACTTGCCTGCCTACTGACCTCCAAGATTTAGCACTTGTTTCCTGTAAAAGCTATTAACCCCTTTTTGAATATATTTCCTTTCCAAAAAAGTTTCCAAAAGTAATTAAGTGCTATTAATTTCTTATGTAACGTTAGATTTTAACACGTTCGCTGCGGATGGGTCAGTACTGACCCACGGCGATCGCCATCCTCACCTGGCCGGGTCAGTACTGACCCACACTGCAGTGAATCAATCTGTTGCTCAGTGCAAGCCTAGCTTCAGTCGAAGCCGGACCTATACCAAGTTAGCGTGTAGTGTGTGACATGCTTTTTGTTGTGGGGTTGGTAGTAAATTTTCCCATAAATTACCCGTCTGGCAAGCTTAGAAATCAACTTGTTGTCCCGTCTTTCTCCCTCCAATTGGCAATACAATGGGACCGGCTACGTTCCAAGCAGTGCTGCTATCTGTGGCTGTTTTAGCGAACTACGTCGACTCTCGTAGCGAAGTACATCACCACATGTTATTTGCTATTCGTCAAACCGAAATTTGAAAGCCAATCGCCCAGCAATCGGGCTCGCTCGACACTGTGCCGCACCGGGGATACGCCCACCATTGGTAAGCCGCAGCGAACATGTTAAACATCTTACTTTCATTTATTTGATTTAAGATACTATACAAATGCATAGTATTGGTATTTATTATTTTTAAGCTCTTTGCTCATTGCTGTCATTTACTACATGTACCTCATTATCACCGGAACCAACAGCAGGTGGAATTTTTGCCTCAGAAGATTTTTCTGTTACATCAGTTCCTGCGTTAGAGACTTCGACTTGAACTTTTTCTTCCATTTTTATTTCTTCCAATCCAGGAATTGAGTTCAACTGTAATATGTAAAGTGTTTAATGATGAACACGTATGTTACAAAGTCAAGAATTAAAATAATTGAATTATCAGCTAGGATGACACAACCTAATATTAGTCATTAGTTTGTAGACCTATCTACATTTCTGATAGTAAATAGTTAGTGACAGTAATAGCATAGTAATAGTTATGTGGCATTGTTACAAAATTATTAAAATAGGTTTAAAGTGTGTGACTGCCTCCTTAAAACTTGTTATATGAATAAAATTTGTAAAACATATTTTTTAAGATAGTCCTCAGGGAGGCTATAACATCATTTCACTCGGGATCACTCCAGGAGTCGGTCATTGCAGTAGCTCACATTCACAAATACGATCGAGGGTGGTTCCCGATAACATATTAATCAAGAGCTTAAACAAATAAAACTTTTCAAATGTCCCTTTCCGTTCAATTAGTCTGACCCTTATTACGCTACCTAAACTAGAAGCGGCAAGATAGAATAATAGAAAAAGTCAGACAACAAGGAAAATAATAAAAAATATTCTAAAAACTTGATTTAAACATTAAAAATATTCAAAAAAGGCATAGCTATGTGTTTAATAAGTACAAGCGCATAAGAAATCATAAGCACATTCAAACTAAAAGATATTCTACAACATTGAGTTGTCAAATTTCATCGGGCTTTTTTTACAGTAGACTATTCAAGTACAAATTAAGTTACTTCTTCTGATTCTCTCAATTTATTAAAAACGTACAAAACTAATCAGTAATTTTATTGCTAAACTAATTCAAACAGAAGTTATTTTGAGCTTTACCTTGGCTTCCAGAATGCAAAGTTCAGCTTCAAGTTTTTGCATTTTCCTGTCCGTGTACAACAACTTTCGCTCACATGTCTGAGCAAAGTTGTTCAGGAAAGAGACCGTTGTAATTATGAAATGGTTAACAAAAGTCAAAAGACGTTTTTGGTGAATTGGAGGAACCTGCAAACAGATTAAGGAATTTTAAATAATAGAGTTTTACGACAATACCACAAAACATGTTTACAGAAAATAGCTTAAGCTATCAACAGAAAAAGCAAGAGCAAACAAAACTATGCTGGCTCTAGAGTCCTGCTAATCTAAACTAATTTAATTAGGACCAACTCTGGTCGAATTGTTAGGGTTAGACAGAAATACAGAAAAACAACAGTGAATTCCTCTGATAACAGAACACTGTGATGGTCTTTTTGCAATTTTTTAGCTGAAATTACCTGTATTTCAATCATGGCAAAACCTGCGTTTATCTTGAAAGAGACCATATTTTTTCGTTTATTTTGTGTAGCTCTACGCTTTTGGTCCAACCCCTGGTCTTGTTACAATCTAGAAGTTGTGTGGCATCTAAAGCAAAGAATTGTACCAGAACTTGTCTGTCCACTCTTCCAGAGTACTAAGCCTTATTCATTTTTTTACTACAATCATTAGTGTCTTCTCCATAGTATTTCGGAGTAAACAATAATATAGGCTAAACAATATATCCGCCATATCACAGGTAGCCAGGGCGGTGCTTACATGCCTATTCACAACCTAGGCTTCACATTCTTCCCAATTGTCTTTGCCAAGCTCATTGTTGATTAATATTATAGTTTTGGTTTTATACTAAATAAATTAAATATGCAATGGACAGGTAGATTTACCTTATTCAGATCAACTCCGGATGTAATAGAGGATAAATTGTCTAGTACCAACTTATTAGTCATCTTGGCTAACAAAATCAATTAGGCCTATTGGATTAGGTAACTTAAATTAGCGTAGACTATTACTACTTTAGTTTGTCCAGGTTAATTCACGTCTTTATACAGCATTTTCACCGATGATAAAATAAGCTTAGCGAGTTTATTGAAATAGAATTTAAACTTCTCTTTCTCGCTTTACTTCTTAATCCCTATTCCTAATCCTAACTTAACCTAAAATACCTCTCCTCTAGCTAGGTTATGTTTTTGACATTTGGATTATGATTTGTTTTTTTTTGTTCTTTCAATTATTTTTGACATCAAATGGCACGTTTTAGATAATGACCATGAAACACTTTGTAAAGTTACCACTGTTTTGCATTGGTCTAGTGATTAAAACCTTTTTAGGTTGTTAAACACTGAAAATAATACGGTTTATTTAGAACTCAGTGCATAGATTAAAATTAAACATTATAGTCCAGGCAAGGAATTAGGTGTAAAGTGCGTGAGCAGGTAACTTAGCGATTCCTTCAGAAACTTGTTCAGGGGGCCTAGGGTGTTAACCACAGACAAGGAAATCACTAATTACACTTTTTAATACTTTTCAATGAAATTGCGACCATACAAAGTAGGTATATTTTAAGCCAAGTATGAATGGAGATGAGTGTAGGATCTAGGATGAGTGGCGCGATCTTGTAGTCTTGTTAGTGACTTGACTAAGGCTGACATATTCCTTAGACACAGCTGTTAATTAGTAGCCCATACAGCTAATGGCAACTAAGGTACCTATAGTTTATAGTGGAATCCAAACCACATTTTCCCTTTGGTATACGGATTGGTCTAATTATCAGGATAGTACTGCGGATAGTCGTAGTACTCACCCGTGCGGACGTTAATCCACACCAAAGGAGTATCGAATCCACAGTGCACGCCTTTAAAAATCCATTGAATTCAATCCATGGTGACCAAATCCATTCTTTCTTGTCCTCTTTGACTGGATCTAGGAGTTGGTATAAGACATTTTAGAACTAGAATATCAGTTCCAGACCAAAAATAACAAATTTAAAATTAATTTACCAAAAAGACTATGGTTTTAAAATAAATAATTTTATCATTTTGGTACCTACATTGGAACAAATAACTTTAAGTCTGTTAAAAAGATCTACCCTTAAAAAACCCCTTCCCCTCGTCGTAACGTTGAGCTTAACACATTCACCATCCTTTAGCGTTACGTAATTATAAGCACGGCATCTCAGTACATTTTTCCTCCTTATGGCTTAGCTGAAGGTCAGTGCACAAGGCACAGTTGTTTCCATACGGTGGTCGGTGCCTCCAGGCCGCGGCCTGGTTAGATTGGCAATGTTGCAAGTGTGTTGTCCAGTGCCAGACGACCCATAAGATAACATGGCAGACAGGTGACACCAGCTCATTGATTCGCGTATTATACATTTAGATTTTAATTTATACACATAAATGTATTTAAAAAAATAAAAATAAAACATAGATGATAACCAAAACAATACCTACTTGCCACTTCGAAGGCCGCGGCGTAGGGTGGTGCCACAGACAAAGAGTATACTTCATTGTTTGTTGTGATACTTTATTGTCTATGGGTCGTGGTGCTATATTTTACAGGTACAAATAAAGCAGAAGGTTAGTATTGGCACAGACAAGTATATTTAATTCTTTTATCACTCGATGGTATTGGTAGTAATGGCGGTGATTTACAAACCATATGATAATTTTATGAGCATATGGTTTGAATTCGTTATATTATAGGGTACACAATATTATTCGAACCGTCATTGAAAACAACTAATATGGTGCTGTAAACAAATTATTTTAAATCTTCTTGCTATCATTGATATTTTGTAAATACTTTTGACCTCTTACACTGAACAGTTTGTGATTTTTATAAAACTAAGATAACCCAGTAATGCGGCAACATGGTTTTTACAAAGCTGTGTGGTGCTGGAAAGAAGGAGAAAAAAAACTTTCTACCGTTGGTCTCATTGAAAAAGATAAAGCAAAACAACTTGTATCCCAGCCTGGACCTCCTACTAAATTGGAAAGCGTGAATAATCAGAAGTCGATGTTTTTCTTTACGGACAGTATCGACCAAAGCCAGCAAATGATATTTAGACAAAAATGTCAACGAGGAGTTCAACCACACGTACCAAATGTGGTAACGTTACAGGATGTTAAAGACGTAGTGATATTTTCTGCTAATGGTTCAATCCCAGCTGGGTTCATGAAGCTGTTTTGTTCTGATAACATCAATCTTCTTTTGAGAATCACAATACTTTACATTCAGTTATATCTCAAGGTAAAAAATACGCCATTAATTTACTATTAAAAAGTTTTATAAAAGTGATAACGTGCCTTTGAGGCCAAAACTAGACGCCTACCTATAAAAACTTGATTTAGTCTGCGCTCTGGCTTTTTTAATAACTTTTATAAATAAAATTTACAAATTTATATAAATATAAATTTGCTCTGATAAGCAAATTTAACAAGATAAAATAATTTTGAATTATGTAATAAATAGTGAACACTTTTAAACTCTTTTGGTAATACAATTTCTCTGTTCTAGATCTGGGAAGATCTCGAATATAGAAGAGCATCATACAAACAACTTTGCCTTAAACATCCTATTTCAAAAGAGAGGGAAACCCTATGTAAAACCAGCTTAAGAAAACTGAGAAGTAAAATTGGCCAAGAGTACGCTATGATTCTTTCTGGCGAAGGGATATACAAAGAACATCACCACATGAACAACACTTTAAATCGATCATACACTGACCAAGACATGATATTTTACGATTGTTTGTCCAAATTCATCACTAGAACTGTTTGGGTAGCACTGAATAGGTGTAACTACAAAGAAATAGAGGTTGAGATTTCAAGGTTATTTTGTCTAAAATATGACAATAGAGAAAACATAAGTGATGATAAGAATGGGCATAAATATGACAGAAATATTCTAGAAGGTGATAAAATTCAATATTCAAGCAAATGGTATAACAGATCACCAATCATTTCAGATGTTTTTACTAATCAGGAAATGCCAGATAGGCTTTCACTAAATGAGGTGCCCACCATTGAAGCTACGAAAACAAAGTTATCAGGTTTAGAAGCTGCTTTAACTTTGCCCGAAGAAGTTCTTGGGAGGTTAAACATAACAGTTGGAATCCTGGGCCAACATCGAGACAATTTTGAGCCATTACTTACTCTAAAGCAGAGACAAGAAAGTATCGAAGACGAAGAGTTGGAGAAAGCGCTTGCCGCTACTGCTGAAGAAGTAAAGCCTAAAGTAAAAATGTATATGTATTTAGAAGATTTATACTCCACAATCGATTTGAAGGATTTGAAACCGAGTGAAGAAACTGGAAATATAATTGACGAAATAAACTTATACATAAACAGCCATTATGAAGACAGTAAAAGATCTTACAGATTATGGGAGCGGAGAAAAGTCTCTAACTGGTCATTGTCGAGCAAAATTTTTAACCAGTAATAAAGAATTCAAACACTTCAAATCGTTTAACTACTGAGACATGAATAGGAAGGCATGTGCATGGATTAATAACTTAAAATTTGTTAGTATGCCTTTTTGTCTGATTAAATCACTTTTCCGTTCCATCTTCAAACATAAAGCATTTCGTCTTGTTAGATTATTAACAGTCAGTACCTACTCTTACACTTTTAACTCACCCACCTTATCGGAAGGACAAACCTGGTTAAAACAATGAAAAAAATGATTTTTTAAAGAACAAAATACCAAAATTTATAGTACCTTAGAGAGAAAAAATGTGTAACATTTTACATTACACTCACACTCAGTTAAGATTCATATCTTCCCAATTTTATAGATTGAGGTACCGTACAGTATCTGACTGTACACTATGTTCCTTTATTAAGCTCATTTATATATCTTAAATAATACCTTTGAAAATTTTCATCGCCTTTTGGGTAAAAGATAAGAAAACGTAAAAAAATATTTTAAAATACAAATAATGTCGAGTGTAAAGGAAAATTGGGGGGCTACCGCCATTTTACCGCATTTTACTGGCAACAAATAGTTAGTATTTTACTGTATCTTACAATTTTTAAAAAAAATGCAGTATAACACAGATAAAACCACTGAGATGTATAATGCCACGGCCACATTTGTGGCCATGGTAATGCATATAACATCTTTCTTTCCATTAATGACAAAACATATCTATAATCAACAAATTACAGGGACTTAACGCTTTGCTGTTTGCCTGGTTGTCTGCGTGTTGCATGAAAAATACTTCTGCCCTCCCTTCCACAGCAGACTGGCGAGTGGCGAGTGGTGTGGTGACTGCGTTTTTGTTTTTGTTTATTATTGATTGTGAGATTATTGGAGATTGTGTTTATTAACATTTACTTTAAAGTGTTTAAGTAAATATAATCCTTCTCGTATCCAGGTAATGATGAAAGATAACAAGGATGAAACCGAGGATCAAAATAAAATTAAACAACGGGAAAGGCTGTATAGGTTAATAATAAGGTAAGAAAGAATAAATGACCGGCATTTTCTGCTGAAATCCCAATTCTGTTTGACTAAAACACTAAAACTAAAACTATTCCTTTGCTGTACAAGAAACAAAATTTGAATCCACTTTCAAGCCATCTTTATAATCTCGATTTTTAAATGGCCTCGGCCTAGTTCTTGTGGATAAATGCAAGCTAAATTTGAAGTTAACCTTAAAAACAACTGGGCCTATGCCTAGCATTAATCTAAGATATCTTTGTTTAATAGACATAGACGTAGGCCTCAGCAGTAGGCTTATTTTTTAAATAGAAATTTGTGTGATGAATTTTTACTGATATTTAGTAACTATCGGCCCTAGCATACATAACTTATTCAGTTGAAAAGTTAAAAGAAACTATAGGTCTAAACTATAAAGTTTAACATGGGCACTTAAATTTGATGAATTAGTGAATGATATGTACTTCGGCCTATGCTTTCGTAAGAATAATAGAATGATAGCCTATAGGCCTGGCCTATGCTTTCTTTGGACAAACAATTCCTAACGAAGCTTTGCTTGACATACAATTACAACCAAAGAGGCTACAATTTCTTCATACCGTACTCTTTTGTCAAATCAATCCTATATTCCTTTTAAAATTAAGTTTTTTGTAATGTTCATAAATAATGTGTTTTACCTTGTTCCAGTCAGCTCTATTACGACGGGTACACACAAATAGCACAAAGTCTTTCTGCGGAAGTCCACCCTGAACCTGCTTGCCCTCCTTCTGAACGGTTACTTCATGTTATCAACGCTGGTCTGCAACATGAACCTGACAGGCATAAAAATAGGGATCCAACCCCTGGCCTCAACCCCATCCAAGAAATTCTTATTGGACCTGGTTTAGGTAAGTGTCATTGATTCTTGGTGAAGTACAGTAGAAGGAATTTATCATAACAAGTTAGGATAAGCCTATTTGTTCTAAATGAAAACAAAGCCAAACATCTTATTAGGGCTCATATTGTTCCTCGACTAAGAACGGTAACTTAAGATTTTTGCCATTGGTTTAGAAAACACATATACTTATTCTCTAAGTGCACTTTATTCATTTGCCTAACTATATTTAACATGGTGTAGCCTAGGTAAGTTTGGTTTCAGGCCTAATATAGTTCTTAGAGAAGTTAAATAGACGCAAATACAAATTTTTCCAACAATATATTTTTGGCTACAGATTTGGAATATGAGACAGAAGTGGACGTAACAGCCCCGGAACCGGCTCTTTACGAGACTGCTTATGTAACCTCGCACAAGGCGAACTGCCGAGCGGGGGCTTTCAGTTTTGATGGACAACTGGTTGCCACTGGAAGTGTGGATTCGTCTATTAAGGTAGCCTTCCATGATTTATTTAATTTGAATAGGCTATAGTATAATTTTAGGCTTATAAACCTTTTACAATTTGTCATTTGGTAATGTCACCCGCTAGGGACACACTGTCAGATTAAAAAAATAATGAATCAGTGGAAATGGAAATAACAGCGCGTAGGTTCCAGACTTTTACAAATGTTTGATTACTTAGTGTTGTCTATATTTATGTTGAAGGATATTGGTACTATAACCACTAAAACAGTGTCACAAATGCTTTTTTCCTGAGTAGGCCTATCCCCTTATCGGTTGATTGCTCAAAAACTCTGCCAAAAAACTTATTGAGCGTAAAATAGACTCCTAAAACAAATTGGGTTACTGTAGTCTACTAATCCACGGCTTTACAGATCCTGGATGTGGACCGGATGCTAGCTAAATCCTGTCCGGACGGCCTGGAACCTACCACGGATACCCAGGGACATCCGGTTATCCGGACTCTCTATGACCATCTGGAGGAAGTCACCTGTTTGGAGTTCCATCCTAAAGAACCATTTCTGGCGTCTGGGTCTCGCGACTGCACCATCAAGTTTTTTGACTACGCCAAAGCGTCTGTGAAAAAGGCGTTCAAGACATTGACGGTAAGTATTTTGTTGGATGGACAAATAAGGAAGCACCTTAGAACAATAGGACTCAAATAAATCAACTAGGCTAATGCCAATTTTGTGCAAAAGGTGTAGAATCCGTCACAAACTTGAGACTGGATTGGTTAGCCAGAGAAGGTTGAATTACCTATGGAAAGGTGACAATGGGGTCAAATTATGATTTAGAATTGTCCTTTTTCTTCCCCTACCACAAAGGAAATAAGAGAAAATGGCATCTGCAGGTCAGGTTTTGCCTAGAGAGCTGATGTCTGATGGGTTGTGATGAGACTTCAAAAACTAAAAGGTTGAAATATTAAACCTTAAACCCACTTATCAAAAAAAAAGCTTGACAGTAGGCTACAATGCAATTAATTGTTGAATTTTGTATTTAGCAGAAATACACTGTAGGGAAATAGCCATTGGAGTCTTCACGACTAACATCGATTTCATTACAGGACGTAGAGCAGGTGAAGTGTATGTCATTTCATCCCACCGGAGACTTCTTAGTCGTAGGTACAAACCATCCTGTCATAAGACTGTATGACTTCAACACAGGCCAGTGCTACGTCTGTAATGTACCGAGTCATCAACACACCGCTGGCATCACCGCCATAAAGTTAGTAGAAGAATTTAATTGTTAAAGGTTTTATTGTTTTGTACGTACAACGATTGACATATACAAACTATATCAACTGTTTGTGGAATTTGAGTACTTTAGTTTTAAATGATTGTCACTGTTCTATTACCGACTGTCCATTTATTAGAAGCGCTCCATTTGCTATTTTTATATTTTTCCCCTCGTCATGTTAAGTAAGTGAATTGAAACTGTAGAATAATTACGATGTTGACGTGATCTCAGGAGATAATCATCTGAGTTGTATCATTGTTTTGAAAATTAAAAGATCTCATTAAAAACTTGTAAATAACAGTGAGAACATTATTTTTTAATTGTTGGAATCAAGAGTCAAATTTGATTTAATCTTAAGTCCATTCTAACAACAATGAACTGAAAACTGAGTTTAAATCCAGAAATATTTACATCTATATCTATAAAAGAGGAACTATGTATGTGTGTATATATGTATATACGTTATGGACTCCAAAACCACATGACAGATTGAAATGAAACTTTCAGGCATTATTAAGCATCTTTCAAGGATGGTTCGAGTGAAGTTTGGTGCAGATCCGTCAAAAGGGCTCTGCCCCAGAGGGTTTTAAGTGGGCCAATGTCAGACTTTTTTATCTACAATGTTTACAAATAAATATAACTAGCTGTAACCCGCGGGCTTTGCCGCGTTTAACGTCTTAATTTTCAAGATGATCTCGTTCGCATGGCTCAATCACGTCCTGGTTGAAGTTCGTTCGCTACGCTCACTCACCTTTAGGTTGGAGCTCGTTCGCTGCGCTCACTTGCCTTCAGGTTAGCTCGTTCGCTACGCTCACTTGCCTTCAGGTTAGGTATTTCAGGTAAAATACCAACGCAACCAATGTTTTTTAACTATCATAATAATCTGTGTAAAATAACTACGTCTGTGTTTTGCAGATTCGCACAGAATGCTCGCTACTTTGCGTCCAGCAGCAGGGACGGCTCTATCAAGCTGTGGGACGGAGTGTCTAATCGTTGCGTGAACACCTTCACCGATGCTCACGACGGAGCGCAAGTCTGTTCTATACAGTTCACACGCAACGCTAAGGTGAGCTAGATTTGTACTTTCTCCCCTATATTAGAGAAAGTGTTCGTCAAAAGTTTCAAAAATGCAATCCTTAGTTTTGGTTTGAAATATTCGTAGGTCCACCTGAAGTAAGTGGCTTTCGAAGTGATGATTGTGTTTGTCAGGGTGTCTAGTAGTCGGGAAAATCGGGAAAGTCGGGAATCAGTATTGAATTTCAAAATGGTCTTGAAAAGTCGGGATTTAGTCTTAAATTTGATTTCAAAGTCGGGAATTTTCATGATTTTGCCGCGATCGTCGTCTTGCGTTTACGTAACCGCGAAAGCCAATGATGATGTCTACACGGCCTCGGTAAATGTTCACGGTTTTGCCGCGATAGTGGACGACGACGATGACGTTTCTGTGACAGCGGAAGACGACGATGACGTTACCGAGACCGCGGGAGACGACGATAACGTTTCCATGACCGCGGGAGACGACGATGATGTCTACACGGCCGCAGGAAATGTTCATGATTTTGCCGTGATCGCGGACGACGACGATAACGTTTCCGTGACCGCAGGAGATGACGGTGATGTCTAAACAGCCGCGGGAAATGTTCATGATTTTGCCAAGATCGCGGACGACGACGATGACGTTTCCGTGACCGCGGGAGACTACGATGACGTTTCCGTGACCGCGGGAGACTACGATGACGTTTCCGTGACCGCGGGAGACTACGATGACGTTTACGTGACCGTGGGAGATGACGATGATGTTTCCGTGACCGCGGGAGACTACGATGACGTTTCCGTGACCGCGGGAGACTACGATGACGTTTTCCGTGACCGCGGGAGACTACGATGACGTTTACGTGACCGTGGGAGATGACGATGATGTTTCCGTGACCGCGGGAGACGACGATGACGTTTCCGTGACCGCGGGAGACGACGATGATATCTGCTCGGCTGCGCGAAATGTTCATGATTTTGTCGCGATCGCGGACGACGACGATGACGTTTCCGTGATCGCGGACGACGACAATGACGTTTCCGTAATCGCGGACGACGACGATAACGTTTCCCTGACCGTAGGAGATGACGGTGACGTCTAAACAGCCGCGGGAAATGTTCATGATTTAGCCGCGATCGCGGGAGATGACAATATCTGCTCGGCTGCGCGAAATGTTCAAGATTTGTCGCGATCGCGGGAGACGACGATGATATCTGCTCGGCTGCGCAAAATGTTCATGATTTTGTCGCGATCGCGGACGACGACGATGACGTTTCCGTGACCGCGGGAGATGAAGATGGCGTTTCTGTGACCGCGGGACACGACGATGATATCTGCTCGGCCGCGGAAAATGTTCATGATCTTGTCGCGATCGCGGGACATGACGATGGCGTTTCCGTGACCGCGGGAGACGACGATGGCGTTTCCGTGACCGCGGGAGACGACGATGGCGTTTCTGTGACCGCGGGAGACGACGATGGCGTTTCCGTGACCGCGGGAGACGACGATGACGTTTCCGTGACCGCGGTAGACGACGATGATGTCTCCACGGCCGCAGGAAATGTTCATGATTTTGCCGTGATTGCGGACGTCGACGATAACGTTTCCGTGACCGCGGGAGATGACGATGACGTTTCCGTGACCGCGGGAGATGACGATGACGTTTTCGTGACCGCGGGAGATGACGATGACGTTTCCGTGACCGCGGGAGACGACGATGATGTCTCCACGGCCGCGGGAAATGTTCATGATTTTGCCGTGATTGCGGACGTCGACGATAACATTTCCGTGACCGCGGGAGATGACGGTGATGTCTAAACAGCCGCGGGAAATGTTCATGATTTTGCCGCGATCGCGGACGATGACGATGACGTTTCTGAGACCGCGGGAGACGACGATGATGTCATTGATGTCTACAAGGCCGCAGGAATTGTTAATGATTTTGCCGTGTTCGTGGACGACGACGATCACGTTTCTGTAACCGCTGCAGTCAATGATGATGTCTAAACGTACGGTACGCGGAAGATTTCATGATAACAAAAACCAAATTTGCTAGTTAGAATTTTTTATTGCTGCATTATTTCTTTACTTGAAAACACCGCATTATCATAATACTACTTTATGACAAAGACAGGGGTTGGTGTAGTATTATTTAGAAAATTTGGTTAATCTATAAAATTTTTTATCGGTATCAAGAATCGAGAATCGATACATTTTGGTATCAACACCCACTAATTTTTGAAGAAACTAGTCTTGAAAAATCTGGAATTAGTCTTGAAAAGTCTGGAATTAGTCTTGAATTTTATAATAGAAATAAACTAGACACCCTGGTTTGTGTGTGAGAATGATTGTCCCATGAAAGCCGACAAAATAATGGAAAAATAGGACTTTTACAAAAAACTGCTTGAACAATTTTGACAAAAACTTTGTAGACTATGTTCTGGTTGTTTAACCTTTTAATAAATTGGTTTAACCCCCAATGCTGTTAAAATTACACTTCATAAGTAATTTCAATTTTTGTAACTTTACCTTCTAGATTGAAATATTTTTGACACTATGATTCTGTTTTGGCAACAAGTTGTTGAATTGTTTTTCTGGGAGTTGGAGAGGATACATACTGGTATTTAAATATATATGAATTATACCATTAGTGATGTTATTATAATTGTTATATGATTAATTAATCTTCACCCTTAAATTGTTCAACTACCTACTAAAAGTTTTCTCAAATAAGTTAGAAAATTAAAATATAAAAAAATTTTATTTATTATTAATTATTATTTTATGTTAAGCAGGTGTTCCATCACTGTATCTGGTATCGCAACTATCACAACGTTATCGGTAACTTATCACAAAAGTCGATAACTTATGCATTATGAACTTACCTATTCAAGTAATTCAATACTGTATTTATAATAGAAGCACACGGACACTACATATATGTATGTTAATTCATGTAGGTTCGTACATAACTGGTATTAAATTATAAACAATTGTAATATATAAAAAAAAGCTTTATAAGAAGAATTAATTAACTACCATGCTTTAACTGTACAATAATGATAAACATATTTTTTTATTTTAATACTTTTCCAATTACTTCATTTCATTTTCAAACAAAATTTTTAAAGCATTAAGCTGTTATATAAACATGAATGATAAAACGTATTTAGTTCGTATATATAATCCAAATTAAATGCAGGCGACTTAAAAAATTGCCAAAACAGGGATAAAACCCATTAATTAAGATTAAACATCTCATATGTAATCAAACAAATTAAACATTAATTTCAACATTGTTGAAACTTGTTTTTTAAGAACTACACAAACTATTGACTAATAGTTTTGTAAACAATTTAAAAATTGTAAAAAAAATGAATTTTTAAATTGTTGAAACTTGTTTTTAAGAACTAGGCCTACACAAACAACTGTTAAATACCAGTACTTTTGTAAACAATTTAAATATTGTTTGGAAAATTGTTTTAAAATTCTTTATAACAAAACTAAGAATAAAACAGTTTTAAATTGTTTTAAAATAGTTACAACTTGTATTAAAAGTTATTTTGTATACTGCATAATACTGATTGTTAAACAATTTAAAGATAGTTCTTACTTATATTAAAATTGTTGTGTAATATGAAGTTTAAATCAAAATGCTTTTTAATGGTTGTAAAACAATTATTGTAATACAGCTTTTGACAATTTTTATGGCCATTGGGGATCAACAATCGAAGTTCCGTCAATCTTGTTTTGGGGAACTCATCCTTTCCTCCCATCAGGTTTTGGTGAGATACCATTTTCCTTAGACATATCTTGAATAATCCTATCATTGGTTTTGTTATAGCCCAAGGTTGTAAAAAAATATGTTAACAACTTTTTGGGACGTTTTTGTTATGAGTAATTTCCATAAGTAGGTACATCTTCATTAAGATCATCAGATTGACCTGTTAAAATCTCAATTTCATTTATCAATCCTACATTATCTGAATTTAGATACCCCTTCTCTCAAGTCATAATTTATTTAATCAGATTGGCCGGTAAAAACTTTAACTTACAGCTTCATTTATTAGGCTTAAATTATTGGCAGAATAAATGACCTCTTCTAAAGAAAGGTTCATCATTTAATAGGCCTACAAGAAACTCTGTTAAAATGTTGATGTCAAAAATATACTATTATCAATATCACCAAGTGGAATGTCAATATAAAGGAAATTAAATTCATTATTTGATAATAATAGGTCGCCTCAATTCAAAGAGACAAAAGCTTTGTTTCCAACAACACGGCACTTATAGGAATACTGGGCCAATAATGGGGATGATGCTAAACTAAATTGCCGTAACTGATGGATTGCTAAAGCATTTTGTGGTAACATATCATTCCTAAGAGAAATCGTTGTATCTGTCGTTGGATACAACATAAATACCCTAGTAAATGTAAGTTACAACAACTGCGCTTAGTAAAACATTCCTAAACTGCAGATACGGCAAAGAAAATAAGCATTTTATAAATAAATATAACAACATATATGGCATTTAAGGCTATTTATATGGTCCTAAGTATGTGTAGAATCACATGGTAACCTTATCTCATTTTCCCCAAAAATGTCAGTTACCACAACTGTGCTTAGCAGGGCAGTACAGGCTACAATACCTACCATAGATTACTCCCATTCATAAGTTAATAGGAGAAAAGTATGTTTCTGATTGCTGATACCGTTTATTTTCTTGAGTGTGTAGTAGACCGCTAGAAAGGGAACTGACAGAAATTGTAACAGCTGTTCTTGGCAGCGCACAGGGATATAAGCCTTATTGTATTCAGTATAAATTTGGCAACATTGCACAAATCTCATCACATCAGACCAATTTTCCTGTTGTATATATATTAATGCTATTTATTTTTTGAAGTTATTTTTGGATATCTTGCCGAGCGTTTTGAAGAAGTTAATGTGATCGATAAGTTTGTAATGTTGAAAAAACTCTTGTTTTGGTTTCAGTACATGTTATCCTCTGGCAAAGATTCTCAAGTGAAGCTATGGGAACTGCTCCTAATATGAAAAAAATTATTGTGATCGATAAGTTCATAATGTTGAAAAAACTGTTGTTTTGGTTTCAGTACATGTTATCCTCTGGCAAAGATTCTCAAGTGAAGCTATGGGAACTGTCGACCAGCCGATGTTTGATTGCTTACACAGGAGCGGGAACAACAGGTTCGTTAACTGTAGGCTGTTATAACGGACGTGAGAGTAACAAAATACTCGAAGAAATTGGGGTTTCAAATCCCATCTGGGACAGGTACCTGAACACACGAGGAGGTAACCTGTCTGCGATTGTCTAGGGAAAGGTTCGGGTGAAATTTGACAGAACGGTTGGATTCTTTGCGAGATGTATTGTAAGTCATTTTGCTACGCTTTTCTTATTCTTAGGCCTAATGTGCGTGCGATCAACAAACATTTTAAAAGAATATAGATTCTTGTGTTGGTAAGGGAAAATATGATGGAAATAGTCATAATTAAAACACTGAATAATCCCTAGGGTAAAAGAATTAAAAACTCATATTTTTAGCGAATTTCCCTATAGGGAAGTAGCTATTACCGTAGGTGGCACGGTAAGACCTAGACCCGGGACCGATTTGCTTTTTGATTTTGATGTCCCCAGAGGCCAAAAACACTATTCGTTCAAATTTTTATATATGTATATATATATATATATATATACTTTTGTGCCCACCCGGTTTGGCAGTCAGTGCGCTGGTAATTTACTCGGTGTGGCAGTCACCCGCCCGAAAGCCAGTCAGCTCTCCCATAAGCCAGTCAGGTATGGCTTCCCGTGCACTTTATACGTATGAAAACAGCAAACCGGTGCTGCTGCCTGTGTCGATAAGCGTAACTGCAATACCAATGCGGAGACTGTCTCATCGTGTGTTCTATCGTGGAGTAGTGTAGCCAGTACGGCACCCTACCCTACTTTGTAGCGGTAAAACCCAGCGGTCTGTAACCTTCGTTTACTCCTTGTTACTATTTGTGTTGGGATAGTGATTAACTACGTGTTAATGTTTAAACATGTTCATACTCCAAATAAATATGATGCACCTCTAATAAGGATCGTCGAATATTAATTAATTATAATTGGTTGAATCTTGATCCTACCCGTTCATCATCTCATATTTTAAGTTATTTTGATTTTTTTTACCTTCAGTTGAAATTTTAGTCAACTTCTCCTTTATACAATATTTTTTATCCTAGTATTTACAGTGTTTCCACGGACCGGGAACTATACGGATTTTCTTTATCTCGAGAAATATACGTGAATCTTGTCCGAGATACTGGAACTGTTTTTTACGCAATTGCGTAACGCGAAGGAGTAACTATTACATATGACAACAATATTATTCTATCTGATAAGAATAACCATGAAACTACACTCGAAAGATAAAATATTTTTATAATAATTTCAATTTTACAAACAAACTATTACAGGAATTATATTTTGGGACGGATGAATGATAAGGAAGCAACAAAAAGTGGTCACGAGTGCAATTACGGGGGGGGGAGGGGGGTACAATATAACGAACGCCAGAAACGATTATTTGTTTACTTTTCAGATTCCTTATCAAATCTCTCTCTCTCTCTCTCTCTCGCTCTCTAACAATGTACAGATTGTGGACTTTACGATTTAAAACCATAGTTTTCCTGCAATTATTTCAGTTCAATCCCATACCTATCCTTATGGTTTCCTATCTATTATTTTTCAAAATAAATAGTAAAGCAGGTTAAACTATTTTTTATTTTATTTTCTTGAAACCAAACACTCTTTACCATCCCGTATTCTGCAGAGTCAAATGTTTAACACTGTGTTTATAAAAATTGAATGGCCACACAATTTTGTGTTTTATTTTTTTTTTACTAATAGTAACTGGGATATTTATATATGCCAATAAGTGCTGCAAGCTGTAATAAATGCTGCTGATTAATATCAAAATAAGTTATAATTTATTTTGTATAATACATCGGTCATTGAATACAAACCATAATGGGTTTTCTATTTGTAACTTTAACTTGCAAATACAGTAGAACCTCGCTTAACTGGAGTCGCATCATCATGATGCCTATATATTATATAACCTCACAAATCCCAAGAAAATGTTTTATTAACTGTGTTTTTCAGTCTAATATTTCGATATGAACGATATATTTAACTATTTACGGTAATTTTTATGTGCAGTAGGTTCCCAATTATTGAAATATTACAGATCATTTAACAAAAATAAGATGGAAGCAAAACGGAGAAATATCGATCAGTATCGTCAAGGTCAACCTATACGCTCGCACCTACACACTGACAATCTTGCACTGACACTGACATACTGACAATCGTCTGCTTCTGTCTGCTGTCACAACACTACAATATTTTGTGGTTGGGTCGTTGGGTGATTAGTAACCATGACAACTTGTGGATGTAGAGAAACCAAAGAAAGAATAGAACAAAGAGAAATAATAAGAGGTGTCATTTTTATCTTTATCTTATTTTTATCATTGTTATTATTACCAGAAAGACTTAAGTACAGTACTATGATTTTATGGTGTTTTATGAGTTATTTAATATTTTTATCCCCATACTTCTGTTCTGAAACATCATGTAGTAGTAGCCTAGGATGACTATGGTATCAGTAGTCTTCTAGTCTACATTTTCATTTTGTTTTGTTCTTTACGTGATTTATTGCTGTACAGTAAGCAAGTTTTGTTTTGTTTGAGTAAGCATACGGTGTAGTTATTATTAGTAAACCAAGGTTAATGACTTCACATATCACGGTTGCGCAATACCTATTGTATTTTGACTATGTAAAATGCAAATTTATAATCACGTTAACGTCCATTTATATAGTGTCCCGGAACGGCATTGTTCCTGAGTAAGAAACATATAAATATCATATTTAAATTATCCAGAAGTCCTTAGTTACTCACACGGGGAAAAAAAGTTTTAGGCCTAAATCATTTGAAACCTGTACATTACATATTTTTGGTCGAGTTTTCGACCACTGGACGACCACTAGTTAAAGTTAATTGTATTACAACAATCTTTATAGTAAGCAATATAAGCTTGAATCGGACTTATCTGCCTTCAGCTAATCCATCATATGATAGTACGTTAGAGAGTATGCCCATGCTGAAGTTTTACTTATACTTGAAGAATGACTTAATTTAGTACCAAGAAAAAAATCACACCCCTTACATACACTGTGCTGTTTTAATGCTGTGTAGTTGATTGCTACTGTATTAACCTGTGATCGCATATTAATTCATTCATTAAGAACGTATTTAAAAAAATACTACTTTTATTTTTTTTTAATTTCTATGATTTATTTACAATAACAGAAATGTGTAAGATTAAAATAAAGTAATGTGTTGCATTGTCCATTTAAAGTTACATCATAGTAAATTGAAATTCCACTGAAACTTAAACAATAAAAGCCGAAATTAGTTATAAAGAAAACACGAGTTTCCTTTATATTGCTTTTACAATCGAAATATACATACTGAGCCACGGCTCGGTCCCCCGGTACTTTTCATTTTAAATATTCAAATAAAGTCGATTATTTTTAATGTTTTATGAAACGTGACATAGCAAATTTCCACGGAACTTTTTTTGTCGGCTACTACTTTATTTTATTTTTTGGTCAGGTTAGTTTAAAAACAGTGGATTCTGTATACAAAAAGTGAAATGTTCTAAATCATATTTTTTAATTTTTGGCTTATGTACGTAATTTAAATTGTACGAGAGGGGCTTCCCACCGTGCCGGATTGCGCCGTGCGGGCATATTTTGATCCAGTGGCGGGTGTTTGGTGTTTTGAATAAGAATACTGAATTGCTCGTTTTAAGATCGTATCATTACAAATCCTATCATTTTAAGATTTGCTTACACTTACGAGAAATGCATTTTCCATTTTTACATTTCTCAGGTACAAATTTTATGAAATAACGTACATTATTGCGTTGTTTGACAAGTAGCTGGGGACCGAGCTTTGTTCGGGAAACTATACACTTTGAGAGTATTCCTTGGTCAATGTAATGCTATCCCAAAAATAATAATTTGCGGTATTTTTTTTCTTGACATTTAACTTCTATTCAAATAATAATATCATAGTTTACTGAAATGATGAGATAGAAGAGTTTTTAAAAATTTGTTTGGTTCCCCTAAATGGTCGAAACTATAGAAATTACCCAGTATTTTTCACGCTGAATTCAAAGAAGGCTATTAGTAGTATGAAAATCTTCCCACCTTCCTTCCTTTGAAGTATTAGTCACTGCAAGAACTTGGACTCGCTCCAAAACCAGAACCGAAACGTTTAATTTACCCTCAATTTTTAAAATGTAATAAGTTACAATTTTCTGGAAACTCAGGACACTTTCTGACTGAAAATAATTACGGTTGATCCTTGTTGGTGAGTACCAAAAAGGAACCTTAGGTATAAACATGGTTGTATATCCAAGTTTGGTTGTCCTTGATATTGCACTATTTCATTGACACTGACAAATTAGGGCTAGGCTGCACTATAAGTTAATTGGGAGTTTATTTGATATCTAGTCCTAAGCTTATAGCCATCTTAAGGCAAACATAACCAAAACCTAACCACAGACATATAAATATAAGTGATATAAATATAAACACTCATCCTCTGTAGGCCTAAAGCTACCTATCTATATTTTTTTGGGTTAGGATTAGTACTTTTTTGAGAGAGTGTCATTATGTACTGAGCACACTTAGATGATATAGGGTATCAGTGATTTATGAAATTATTTATTTATAAAAAGCAACCTAACGGAGTTACCTTAATGATGCACCCAGTATTTAATACAAAAATTAAAGCTTATGCCTATGTATATTAGTTTTAAAACAGAGTAGAATAAGGCACCTATAATCTAGATTAGGCATTGATTAGTGTTTATAAACTAAACATGGATGAACCACTAAGTCAAGCTACTAATCCAGTTGTTCAGGCTAGGCTAAACTGAACTCTGAAAGCATCCATCTCAAAACGGCCACAACTTAAGAACAGATCCTAGAATTTGATTTATTTTAAACTTTATTTTTCTGAAATAGATAGCTAAACTGTCCAGTGCAATCATCCCACACTGCAAATAGCAACACTCAAACTTAGTTAGGTAAGCTAGTGGTAGGTTACAACTAATTATTATCCCTGTGACCGATTCAGTGTAACATCTGACATCAGTCAGAATCAGACGACATTATTGACAACGACACTCGTCGTGTCGTTTCTTTAATTTACGGTATAATATAGTATAAAACATCTACCATATCCATAACAATTTTCTACCACTGCACCTAAACAACAGAAAAAATCAAATCACCAAATTCAAATCACCAAGATTCGCACAATATGACAAATTATTTATAAATTAAAAACAGTATATCTTCTGTGCCAGTAGTTAATGCGTGATTGAACTTCAAACAAACAAACAAACACACAAACTTTCACATTAATAATATTAGTAAGATAAGATGTATTAATTAAATATTAATTACTAGCTGTGTGCCCGTTCTACGCACGGGGATCCTCTAGTGGTCAGTTGAAACCTTCCTAAATAAAGAAAAACTATTGGTTTGCATATTTTCAGATATGCTAGCCAAACTATTATATACAAACAAATACAGTATCTGACAGTTTCAAGTAAAAAAAAAATGCGTAATAGATCTATGAGGGGTACACTTTCATATCTGTTGGCACAAACAACTAAATTAGTAACATTGATTATTCGATTGTTTAATTCCATATAACGTTTGGTTAGTTAGGTTAGGTTAACCTTACCTAACTAACCAAACGATATATAGTTAAAATACTATACCTCAACCTCGCCATTAAACATTCAGGTTGGAAATTTCACTATCAAAGGTGCTCTTGGCCTGTCCGTACGGAACACTGAGTTATATGCGCTACCAACTTATGAATAATTGTTTAAGCCTACGAACCCAAGAGATGGATAATTGGTCTGTTGGACGTATGGTCCAGCGAGCAGCACATAGCGTTGAGAAGACACATTAGAAATACGATTTGAGCATAATCCGTAAACCTCTGTTACAATCACCCACTGCAGTTGTCTCTAAACACTTTACACAACCACCATTGAAGTGCCGTCAACGAGTTGAAACCTTATATGTAAGCTATTGGTAACGCTTATGTAAAAAATGTAAGTTTCCCAGGCATATAGAACACTGAGTCAAAGTCTTTTCCCCGGTTATAAACCCAAAACTCGATAGAAATTCTATACACAAAGAAGCTCTATTTTCATTTACGGTTACCCTACACATTATTGCACTTGCGATTAATTAAATCCGTTATGTAAGGAAAAACGGTTTTAATCCAACTTGGTTTGGATTTGCTTTTGAAACTTGATCTGAAATGATTGCGGTATTTGTAAACAATATTCAATTTAAACATATCAGTGACAGCTAGAGAAAAATAATCTTGATCCGAACAGCTGTTCGCTATTTCATATGATGATTATGTGATAAACATTGTGAGAAAACTTGACAAAAATCGCACAAAATTGGGTTTTAAACGTCCGTAAGTTTTTTTTACAAAGTAGCGAGGGCATATTTTAATAGCTAAAGACACTTTCGCCAATCCAGTGAATACATTAAAATGATTCGAGGATCTTGATAGGTACTCTCGTTTTCAGGAGAAGGCCGCGTAAAATGGCCTTTGGACCGTGACAGACAGAAGATAGACAACAACGGAATTGAGATAATAATTGATGATTCAGATAATAACGGAATTGAGATGAAACTTTTTTCGGATTCTTGAATGTTTAAAACGTAAAAATAATCTAAAAGTTGATGATTCTGAGCAATGTACAGACAAAACCCTAATTTTATTTATATAGATTAGTACCTGTGGTGATTTGTATTAGAAATTTATTGAAGTAAATAAACAGCAAAGTTAAAAACCATCTGATCAGTGTTTTTATTTAAAAAGTACGTAGGCCTATTTGATTGGCTTTGTTTTCTGAACTAAAATATCTATTTCCTGATCTATATTTAGTTCCTGTTTTCGAAACATAATTTGGCAAAACAATTATTTATTCATTAAACAACTTGATCGAAAAATAATTTCTAAACATTGGAGGACAATTAAAAAACTTTTGAATTCTAATAAACCTAGCTGCCGTACCTGTGTTTTACATCGGAGAGGATTTTGAAGAGAAAAAGTTTGATACACGTCACATATTTCAAATCCCACTCCAAACACGTCATGTTAATACGTTTACTTCCTTAAATTAAGAATGTCACAATCTCCAATTAACAGGCCCGTAGCAAAAGTTAAAAGTTTCACAAATCGAATCGTTTCTATCTTTTGGACCGCAAAATCAAAGAACTTTATTGACAGCATTTAAAGCTGACTTCGTTAAACATTCTGTTATCTACATTCTTCAAAAATGTAAACATTGTGAAACTTTGGAATCCCATGGGGCGTAACTCAAAGAAAACACGTTAAATGTAATCGGTATATTTGTTAACCAGGTACAGGGCTACCTCTTGAATTGATATAGATAATAAATCGAAAAATAAAGAAATATAAGTTGATTGATTATTGGCTCTTACAAAAGGGTAAACAATCAAGGAACATGATTTAATTAAGTAACCACACATCACTGAGTCTATATCTTCATTCTTTCTTGTAAAAATCGCTTTGATTGTGGCTATATAAAATAGGGAAGTAATATTTCACTGTACAACGAGCTCAAAAAGCTCGAGAACCAGCAATAAGATGGAAATAACCGGCAGAACCTTTAACCATCCACTGGCTCGCTAGTCGCTACCCCAGGTCGGTCGGTAGCCGGGTAGCCCATCAATGGAACCCGTTAGGCTCGCCCCTACCTCTCGCCACAAAAGAGACAAGAATTTTGCCTTGTTCCACACGCCTTTGATTGTTTGAGGCGGGAAAACTATTTGTGTGCTACGGCCCGCGCAACACAGGATATTGTTTTCGTATTAGTTGGCCTTTTTCCAAGATGACCGTGACCGTTAACTTATTTTATGGACTCCCTTGGAGAATAATTCAAAACTACAAAGAACATTTCTAATCCCACAGTATACTAGCTATTTAAATTATAAACACTTTGGTGTTTGAAAAATATTTTTGGACGATAAATTTTGCAGCTTTTTGAAATCATCCAAGATGGCCGCTTGCCTCCAAGGACTCAACAATAGGCCTAATTGTGCGACTATAAAGCAATAACTTCCCTTCTTACGCTTGCGAATTAGTACGGTACATATTTGTATCCACAGTTGCCAGGACGACTATTAAGACGACCAAAGATTACATTGACATTTAGGTATTTAATCTGTAGAATAGTAATTGTTAAGTAATCTGGAAGACAACTAATTAAAATGAAGTGCGAAAGATGGGTTATGAGAGTGCTCAATGCCTGAAGCATAATCCATTTGTTTGAGGTGCGGATTTTCAAGCTTGTAGAACAAATAAATATCACAAAGTAGAAGGGCAGGGGTGAAAGTGACTGAAGTGACGGGATACCCGGGTGGATTTTCAGTGACTGGATTCCAGTGGTATGCGGTAAAATATATAGTGACTGGCTTAGCAGCACAAATTTTACGTGACTGGCTTTCCCATGCAAATGCGGTGGTGACTGCATTAGCATAGCATTTTTTACGTAATTATATTTTAGTATTTTTAAGAAAAAAAGAGATATATACGTTCAGATATGTCTAGGCTTAAGATATTTACCAACATATATTATATATATATCATAGTCTTGAAATATATTGGGGGGTGCAACTGACTGACTTCCAGTGTATATTTTATGTGACTGGCTTCCCGGGCGCGGCCGTGTATATATATATATAGACTTATATATATATATATATATATATATATACGTCCGTGAACGCGATAACTTGAGTAATTTTTGTCCGATTTTGATGAAATTTGGTTTAAAGGTGTAAAGCGGGATAAACTTGAATGAGTTCGCGAACCAGCACGATCGGACCATGGGAACGGGGCTTTACGGGGGGTTTTAGGGGGTAAAAATTGGTTTTTCTCACTTTTGACCCTCGAAACACAAAATTTCCCAATTTCTCTTTAGACCTTTTTAAAGAGCTTAAAAAAACAAATAATTTAGTATATAAAAGTATTTTTGTTCGATTATTAGTAACGGAGAAAATTAAAAAAATTGTAAATATAAAATTCCCATGTTATTCTTATGGAGAATATTGTCAAATGTTGTAGTTTGCTTGTTTATGAATATATTTTGATCAAACTTGGCAAATTTATTTATTTTGTACTAAGCTATCAATATTTTACTCAAAAACACACTTTATTAGTTTCCTTGTAGCAGCAAACCTAGGTACTCGTTAAACCTAATGTTATTAAAATATATTTAACTGAAAATCAATTCAGACAAATGGAAATTCGCTTAGTCGGCAGGTTTGCTGCGGCGGGGGTATTTACTTATCAGCTCACTTTTAAAATCTTTGCTTTTCAAATAATTATTGGTAAAGACTTAAAGAATGAATTATTCTTGTTTTAGGTTCTTTGACAAGATTAATATTTACTTCTTTTGTCGCTTCTCCTGAAGTACAGGTCATGGCTCAAAAACTTCCTTGCTGTGGTAAAGTGTAGTATTTTTCATGCTCAAAGTTTATTGTTACCAAAATTACCTAGGAAAACATCTTTGATAAGATTTATGAATTTCTGAGTTGAAATTACAACAATCGTTATGTACGAAAACTGCACGTTTGACTGTCGTAGGTAAGCAAGAGCACCGAGCACAAGCAGTGTTCAACCACACGGAAGACTTTGTTATGTTTCCTGACGAGGCTACGACGTCTCTGTGTGCGTGGAACTCTCGGAATGCTTCTAGGATGAACCTATTGTCTCTAGGTAAGTATTGTACTTGATAAGTTAATCCTCGTAAGGAAAAGGAAGATCTTTTCAGCATCTCGCAAGCCCAGAAACGGTTCTTCTCTACTAAGAAGCTATATATTTTTCATATAAGAAATCGTAATACTTTAGTACTTGTATTATTACATTATAGTTTAAACGTATAGGAGAATCTTTATTGCAAGAACCCTGAAGGAATGGTAAAATAAACTTGATATCACAATTGACCTCTAATCAAGAAATTTGGTCAAATAATGAAACGTAATACAATTTACAATCATCAAGGATATGGTTATTGTATTAAACCCATTAAATCAGAATTGATCATGATAGAATAATCTAGGTAAAAGTATTTTATTAGTATCAATCAACTCCAAGTAAACAAAAACAATTAACACATGATAATAAACTAAAATGACAATAGTCAGTAGAGCCAACCATTACATCTCCCTCTTTAAAGGTTGAGTTTCTGGGGAGGTTTTATAAGTCGTCTTGATCGGGTTGTTATGTTAGCAGAAGACATTCCAGAGGTGTTTAACCGTTGAAAAGTTTGGCATGTCTTCATGATGATCCATCGGACCTCTTGTTAATGGTTGACTGTTACGGTTATCTGTTGAAAAGTTTGTTAAGCACATACCGTTGTCTTCCTCAGATCGATGATCCTTCTGACTACTTGTTGATGGTTGATGGTTGTGGCAATGATCCTTCTGACTATTTGTTGATGCTTGATGGTTGTGGTAACTTTCCTTTTGAATGTTTGGCATTGGTTGTAAGTGAAACCGGTTTCTTCGAACTATGGTTCCTTTGTCCGTCAGTACTTTATAAGATCGTGGTGAGTTTAACTTTTCTACGACTTTTCCTTCACGTTTCAAATCAGATATCCAAACTTTGGTTCCTGGGTTCATATCTGATAAGGGTCGAGCACCATGTCGTCGATCGTAATTTCGTTTGTAATTTTGTCTATAATGATTCTCCTTCTCTCGGAGATGACTGAAGTCTGGCTTGTTCTCCAGATGACATGGTAAGGTAGGCAAATTGTCCCGTAGTCTGCGTCCGTATAATAACTGTGCTGGACTGTAACCGTTGGCCAGTGGAGAGTTCCTGTAAGACAACAAAGCTAAATATGGATCTCCTTTGTTCTTCTTTAGAACAGCTTTTGCAATTTTTACAGCTGCTTCGGCTGAGCCATTGCTCTGATGAAACTGAGGACTGCTTGTTTTGCATAAAAAGTTGTACTCTTTGGCAAATTTTCTGAATTCTGCACTAGTGATGCCAAACTGCGTTCCACTATCTGAGTATAAAACTTCAGGAATACCGTGGCGAGAAAACGTTGACTTGCATTTCTCAATAACTTCAGATGCAGTGAGCGATTGTAGAGTTGCAATCTCAAAATATCTCGAGAACTGATCTGTTATAACAATGAACCATTTGCCATTAAGCTTGAACAAATCCATTGCTGCCTTTTCCCATGGACGTTTTGGAAACTCGGAAGGAATGAGCGGCTCATTTTGATTTTCTCTGTGTTTGATGCATGTTGGGCATGAAGCTACCATCATATTTATATCTGATGCCATTCCTGGCCACCATAAACTGAATCTAGCCTTTTCTCGACATTTGGTGGCTCCTAGATGACCGACGTGTATTCTATGAAGCATTTCTTGACAAAGACTTGATGGTACTATTATTCTAGAATTGCGTAAAAGTAAGTTGTCCATCAGTGATATCTCATCTTTAACCGAGAAGTAGGGGACTAGTTGAGATGGAAGTTGTGATTTTTCTGGCCATCCAGTATGACAGTATACTGCAATCTTTCTGAAGATGGGATCTGCTTGCTGAGCTTCCCGTAACCTGTTTATGTTTTCATCAGTCGTAGGTATGTTTTCAACCACATTTTGAACAAAAGCTTCAATTTCTTCTTCCATGTCATATGTTTCCTTGCTTGGAATGGGGCATCTTGAAAGACAGTCTGCTGGTGCAAGGTGTTTTCCAGGCGTATATGTCACTGAATATGAGTATCTCATCATGCGAAGCCTCATTCGCTGTAAGCGAGGTGTAATGTCATCCAAATTCTTAGATGATAAGATTTTTACAAGTGGCTTGTGATCCGTTTCAATTACAATCTCTCGACCAATTATATAGTCTCTGAGCTTGTCACAAGCCCATGTGATTGCCAGGGCTTCACGTTCAATATTTGAATATGATTTTTCAGCTTCTGTAAGTGACCTTGAAATGTAAGAAACAGGTCTGAATTTACCATCATGATGTTTCTGAAGAAGCAATCCGCCGAGACCATAAGAAGAAGCGTCTGCTGACACAAGAGTTGGTAAGCGAGGGTCGTAAAATGCTAGTTGGGGTGCTGAGGTCAGAAGTTTTTTTATACTTTCAAATGCATGCTGTTGTTGTTCTCCCCAAAACCATTCATTTTTCTCTTTAAGTAGATCATGGATTGGTTTTAGTATTTCTGATCGATTTGGTATGTATTTACCACAAAAATTAATCATTCCTAAGAAGCGTTGTACTTCTTTTATATCAGATGGAGGTTTCATCTCAAGAATGGCTTTGACTCTTTCATGGCTGATTTGAACCCCTCGGGATGAAAGGTGATGTCCTAAGAATTGTACTTCTGGCTGAGAAAATACACATTTGTCTTTATTCAATGTAATTCCAGCATTTCTGAGTTTCTTTAAAACTTCATTTAAGATCAAGTCATGTTCCTCTTGACTGGAACCCCATACAAGTATGTCATCGATGTGAGCTAAACAGTTTCGTTGAGATCCTAAGGTTTCTTGAATTCGTTTCTGGAAATACTCGGGAGCACTTGTGATACCAAATGGAAGAACTTTGAATTTGTATCGGCCCCAAGGAGTTAAAAACGTGGTGAGATCTTGAGATTCTTCTGCAAGAGCTATTTGCCAAAACCCATGGTTGGCATCCAGTTTGGAAAAGACTTTGGCATCTTTTATTCGAGCCATCGTATAATCAATGCCCCAAATAGGCTGAGTTTGTCGAAACACATTCTTATTAAGCATAGTAAGGTCCACACATATTCGAACCTGAGTTCTATCTTTCTTAGGCACCACGACCATAGGTGCGCACCAAGAAGTAGCGTGATCAACGGGTGTTATAACGTCCATATTCACCATATTTTCAATCTCCTTCTTTGTTTTTTCCCAAAGAGGTACTGGAATCCGTCGAGGAACTGATATCGCATAAGGTTTTGCATCATTTTTAAGTTCAATTTCGTAGCTCCCCTTCATTTTTCCTAGACCACTGAAAAGGTCAGGAAAGTTTTTGATCCAATCATTAGCAGATTTGTTGAAATTAGTTTTCGATACCTCACGAATAACCGGTATTATTTTTAGTTTTTCTATTGCTGGTTTGCCAAGTAGTGGTGTTGTGCATTTGTCAGCCACATACATTTTTTCCATACACGATTGTCCTTTGTAAGAGAGTTTTGCAGTGATTGTGCCAATAACAGAAAGAGGCGATCCTCCAGCCGCACTTAAAGTTCTCTGGGTAGGCTGGACTGCAATTTTTTTGCTTAGCTTTATGTTGGATGGTATTACTGTCACGTCAGCTCCTGTGTCGATTTTGAACTTGACAGTGTCTTCATTAAGTCTTACATTTATTGTCCAGGGATCATTTTTTGTTTTACTAGAATACACACACCCAATGAATTTTTTCGATGGGTCTGGTTCATTAGCGATTTGGGTAAAGTCATCTGAACGATCCAAGTCTATTTCTCGAACATTGTTTTGAAGACAACAGTGTGAAAAGTGGCCATTTCGCTTGCACCTAGAACATTTGCGATCTTTTGCTGGACACAGACCTCTTCGATGAGAAGGGGTTGAACCACACCAAATACAAGAGTTGGGATAGCTCTTGACATTTGAGCTTGAATACGTTAATCTCCCTTGATCCCTATTTTCTCTTTTGGATGAATGTATTGCATTATCATATCTAGCACGTTGATTTTTATTTACAGCTTCGATTGATGGGAGGGTCAATTCTTCTTTTTGTCGTTTCAATTCTTCTGATTTGCGAAGTGAAGTTATTGCAGATTCCAATGTAACTTTATTTTCTAATTGTAGTTTATCACTCAAATCTTGATCACGCATACCAATAATAATGACCATTAATAACATTTCATCTTCAAGCGTTCCCCATTCACAGGTACGAGCAAGAGAATATAAATCTGTCACAAAATCTTCTGCAGTTTCTGTTAGTCCTTGTTTTCTACGTAGAAATTTGGCTCTTTCATAAATAATATTCTTCTTTGGATTGAAGTGCCCATCAAATTTGTCCATGACTGTTTTATACTTTGTTTCTTCGTTGGTCATTTTGAAGGATGAGAATATTTCTTCTGATTTTGGGCCCATTGCATATATGAGTGTACTCACTTGTTTTTCTTCAGATGATTGATCCAAATCACTAATTGTTCTAAATCTTTCGAAACGTTTTTTCCATGGTGACCATTCCGCTGGTTGGAAGGAAAAAGGTTCAGGCATTCTTACTTGTGTATGAGCCATGATAAACTTTTTTGATAATGGTAGATACCACAAAAGTTGTTGATATGTTTGTATAGGTAAAAAAGTTAAATTTCAGTGTCAGTATATTAATTAATACATAAATAGTTGAAACAACCAAAGCCTTTGGTTACCCCAAACTATGCAAATACCGACTGCGCCATGTATTAAACCCATTAAATCAGAATTGATCATGATAGAATAATCTAGGTAAAAGTATTTTATTAGTATCAATCAACTCCAAGTAAACAAAAACAATTAACACATGATAATAAACTAAAATGACAATAGTCAGTAGAGCCAACCATTACAGTTATCAAGAGCTCTCGCAGTCAAGGGTTTTTATATCCAGGATCTTATACTTAATACCATTGACAAAAATAAATAAATATAGACTGTCAGCCTTGCTGTGGTTACCATGGTTACCATAGGTTCCGGCGCACACCGCTGTAGTTTACGTGGCACGTACGCCGTAACTACATGGTGCTCCAAGCGGTGTGCGCCAGAACCTATGGTAACCGCAGCACAGCTGACGGTCTATATTTAATTCTTTTTGTCTATGTAATACTAAGGAGATTTTGAGTGTGTTAATAACGGTTTTCTTCCTATTAAATGATTTGATATTCTAGCTATCTTACTATCAAGGGCCTTGATATTGAGTTTGTTTAATGCAAGGGCTTCCTGCTATCATTCTTTATCGAGGATCTCTTACCATGACGGGTCTTAAACTCAAGTACAGTAGAACCTTGATAACAAGACTCTCACAGGGACCATAAAAAAAGACTTGTTATCAAGGTTGACTTCTTATTGAGGTTTGCAAACACATGTGATTTAGGGGTAAAATAATTTCAAGGGGATTTTAAAATGACCCTTGTTATCAAGGGTGACTTGTTATCGAGGGCCTTCTTATCGAGGTTCTACTGTAATTTTTGCTATTAAGGGTCTTTATGTAATTGGCTCTTGCCATTAAAAATCTGGCTATCAATATCTTTTGCTGTTAAAGGTTTTGTTTTGAACTGTTATTATCGAGGTTTCACTGTATATGTGGTTTGTTTTAGGTCATAATGGGCCAGTGAGAATGATCGTCCATTCCCCCCACTCCGCCGCCTTCCTCACCTGCTCCGACGACTTCAGAGCTCGGTTCTGGTACAAAAGACTGCAAACTCTTTAGTATTGTATATATTTTTATTTATATGTGACTTACAAAATTGAACCGGTATTGTTTCAGTGTTGTTTAAAACAGTCTAAAGTTTTTAACATTTTTATTATGTCTGTCAGTTGTTTAAAGGTAACGTTTAGATTGTGAACATTAAAGTAATTTTTTTGAGAAATTTGTTTTAACTTATAATTTTTTTTACTTCAGTGTAAAAAATCTCCTACTCTTTGTGTTTTCAATGTGATCATCAGCTGCAACCGCAGTGGAATGATGAAAATCTTCCGCAATGGTGGCAACCGCACACTCTTGGCAGACGCTTTCCAGGGTTTTTGGCTCAGCTAGATTTTTGATGTTGTACTTCAAACACTCAAACTTTTAGACTAGCTCAAAAATCGGGCCACTAGCACACCTTTGGTAAATATAGCTTAGGTAATCTTAAACATTAGAGAACCATACCTTAAAATTTACGAGGTGATTAATAAGGGAGTACCGGTATGCTTAATTTACGCTACCAGAAAATATATATTCCATCCCATATAAAATATTTAGCCTCTTTAAATTAAATCAATTTTTTAATACATTTTTTTATTGTGCCGTCAACAAAGCGTGCTCCTGTCAAATACCTCTTTAATTCTCGTACGTCAACTTATTGTAAATAATAGAATTTTTATGTGTCCCCAACTCCCTATCAACATCAACTGCCATAGAATCAAAATACCTCCGCCGCAGCAAACCTAGCAATTTCCATTTACCTGGCTGGATTTCTACTAAAATATTCCCTAAAAATTGCCAGATTTATTTACATATAAAATAACATTGGCGGATATGTAAAACATGTTTATAAGGTTACAACATGAAAAATGATGCTCACAAGATTGTATCATAAAGTTATGAATATAACAACAAATTACAAAAATATACATTTATTGAACAATATGTTTTGTTAACTACAACATTTACTACTTCAGAATGTTTTCAGTTTCACAAAGCTACAACATCCTTATATCTAGAAGTTTTAATAAAAAATCACAGACATATTATTTACATTTTTAGGAAAAGCGAAATAGCCTAGCTGATTAATGATTTTGTAAGAGGATTATAGTTCAGAAAGTTTGTGTGGATAATTATAGTCCAGGGGCTTATAGATACTTAAAAAGGTCAAATTATATTATAACAATGATATTTTTTCCCAGAGATAACTGTCTGAAAATATTAATTTCTTGTTAATACCCTCTCCGAACACGGAGACAGTTGTTGGAAATAACAGTTGTTAAATTATAAATAAAAGTTTTTGGCACGATATACACTTAACGAAACAATTGTTTGGCACAATATAGAATTCACGACTAAAAGATTGAATAATCTAGTCTTTGTTAGAAATAGATGACATTGTAATATCATAATGGAATTGAACTTAACTATTAATTTTGACAATACAGTATTAATGATTAAATAGCCTAAACAATGACTAGGAAACACACCTTTTGTTTGTAGCATAGCTTAAGACAAGGTTTACAAGATGTAATTAATTTCTATATGCTTTACCCTGATATTTGATTGTTCCTATACATAACAAATTTTTGCATATTATTTGCTCATAAATTAAGAGATCTTAAATAGAAGACAAAAATATAAAACAAAATGTAAAAAAAGGTTTAAATTATTAATGTTTATTGCATTGAGGCTCACAATCTTCAATAGTTTTCATTAGTTAGTAACTTGATTTAAATTTAGGAAATATGAATTAGGCCCTAATCCATAACCCCAGTAATAAAAGCTATTTAAAAAAATAAAAAAAGGTTTAAGGTTGTCGATCTTATTACACGATAGAATAGCCTAATTTTAAACAGAATCATTTTACTGTAAAATAATCCTTAAACTAGTAAATTTACATTTTAAATGGCGGATGTTTACAGCCTTTAGTTATTACATGACTTTTTGTGGAAAAAATCAATCAGAGCAAAATGTTCTGGTCAAATAAATGTACAAATAATGTACTTAAGGGGAAAAAATCTCACTTTTTTTCCTGTGACTCCAAAGTCCGTTGCCCTTTTAATTTGGTCACAAATATATCAAATTAGAACACTAACCCTGCTACCTTTTGAACGCCTTACAAATTTGAACGTCTTAACTCCGTGACACCCACAGGAAATAGTGAGTCAATCTAACATATATCGCATAACTTTTCTGTTTACGCTTTCCCTCTCCTCCTGTTGTTGAGAACGTCTTGTATCTCCTCGAAGGACATTCCCCTTGTGTCCGGCAAGAGGAACAGGGTGAAGAAAACCATGAGAATACAAAAGACGGTAAACATAGAAAAACTGACGTACTCTCCTAGGGATGCGCAGATGACTACGAAGAATTTCGTCATCAAGAAACCAATCACCCAGCAAAAGGAAGCCGTCACGGCTGACCCGATGGCTTTGACATTCGGAGGAAACATTTCAGCCATCACAGCCCATGGGAGTGGTCCGAATCCTGAAAGAACCAAGAAAAATCTTTAGTTAACAATTGTTGATGCTTATTTACTCAATACAGTACCCAAGATTTTAATTATCTTATCAATTATCAATTGTCAATTGAGATGGGGACGCCACCTAGTTGCATATTTTAAACCAAATATGAGTGAAGGATGAGTGTAGAATGGAGTGAAATGATCTTTGTAGCTTTGTCACCAAATAAGATCAGCTGTTTCATTAGCCATGATCATTTATTTAAAGCCCAATTTTGAGAAACGACTGGGTCCAGTTTCGAACCATCATTAATTTACTGACTTTTCTCAGGATCGAACCGCAACCTTTTATTGCTGGACAAGGACATAAACGCTCAGCTACCCATCAACCATGTAAAAGTATTACCTCTGGCGTCTCTATTTTATTTTCTTGGTCTATGGTCACTCCTAAGTATTTAAACTCTTTAGTCCTTTCGAATTGGTAATCTCTAGCTTGTAAAGAGTGTTCCACATCAAAATCTTCTAAATGTCGTCCAACTATTTATTTAGCCTTTTCGTTGCTGATTTCTAAGCCTATTATTCTAGTTTCCTTAATTTAGTGTCTCTGTAAGAGTTTTAAAACGTTTGCATGGTATTAATTTTACGGTAGGGTAGGGTAGATAGGACCTACCTAAATTTTGACAAGAGTAAAAATATTCAATTTTCTTAAAAGTACCAAACTTGGCATACTTACCTACTGCATACATTGTCATATAACCAATCAGGCTAGCAATAGGAAGCCAGGAGATTGATGAGAGGTCCTTTTGTTCATGTTGGAGGTAGAAATAAAGCGCAAGAAGTCCCTGAAATAAATTTAAAAAAAGTTAATGTTTTTATTTTTAGAAAAAATGTTTACTGTATGTTAATTTTCAATGGAGCTTGAACAGTGAATTCGATCTTGATCTATTTTATGGGCAAGAAACCTAAATATTTGATTACAATTACTCATAAACATAGCTAAAAGTAGGGGATGGAAACCAGTTAAGAGATTCTTTTTTTTGTTTCAACATTCTTTTACATAAATTAAATAAGAACAAAAACCTGTTTACCAAATCAAATTCAGTCTTAAAATTCAGGACTCAATGGTTGAGCAGATTTCTTTTTTATTCTCTGAGGGCTTTTTTCCATTGGGCTTTGAAGTTACCATGTTAATTCCAAAACAATTGCATGTTAATGAGAATAGGTATTACAGAAAATTGGTTAAGACAAATTTTACCTGGAACACTCCCATTCCAATAGCCGAGATAATAAGGAGAGACTTCATGCCGAATCGTTTGACCAGAGGTGCTGCGATGCCGGCGGAGAGAATAAGGATGACAGCGACAATAATAGAACAGATGGAGGGGGAAAGGTTGGACCCGGTCATTTGGAAGATTCCTTCTGCATAGAAGAGGACAACGTTGATGCCGCTTAGTTGTTGCCCCGCTACCAACCCGCAGGACAACAACAACCCCTTGCGGTTGCCCAGGGTGGAAAACAGATCCACGATCGTGCCTGACTCTTCGAGGGTAGCTGTCACTGAAACCTTAAAAAATTAATAGTTTTTATAATCGAAATTTATAAAACAATTCAGTGTCAGATATGAAATGAAACTTTGTCAACTAATCACAATAGCAGGTATAGTCCTCGCTACCCTAACTTGAGGCAGCCCAAGGCCGCACTAGATATACGGCGTCACAGAAAACGTACTACTATACCCAGAATGCCAACCGCATGGGAAAAAGCATTAAGCGGTTTGAGAGAGCTTTGCCTGTCAATCCGTAGGCAGCGCCACCAGCGTTGCCATGCAATAGCATAGCAACGCTGGTGGCGCTGCCTACGGATTGACAGGCAAAGCTCTCTCAAACCGCTTAATGCTTTTTACCATGCGGTTGGCATTCTGGGTTGTAGTAGTACGTTTTCTGTGACGGCGTGCAGCCTTGGGCTGCCTTAAGTTAGGGTGGCGGGGACTATAGTTTACTTAACTACAAAAGGACTGAAGAGTTAAAACTCAATGAGTCTTGTTTGAAATTTATTTTAATGAATATTAATTTCTTCGAGATTTTAAAGATTTGCTAATTCAAAAATCATTTTAAACCCAAACAAATATTATTGATCAACTGTCAAAATAAAACCAACAACTAACCTTCATTAGATTCAGTTCCTTCTTGACGTCCTCAACCGTTGCGCCTTTACGCAACCACGACAGACTCTTTAAGGCTTCAGCATCCCGACCTTCTTGTAGTAGGAAGTACGGAGTTTCTGGCATCAGAGCCGTGAACACAACAAGACAAACAATCGGTGAAACAAGCGACGCGAGGATCAGCAAATTGTACGAGACGTAGGGACCGATAGTGTATGGCAGGAGAAACCCTGAGCAGAGGAAGAAAGCAAGCATGGAACCAAGCGCTCCTCGAACTTCGTCCTGCAATCAGTAAAATTTGTTGAAAAGACTTTAGTAAAGTTAAAAAAATTATGGTTTCCAAGTATCAAGTGTTAAACAGTTGATATCCTATTCTCATGTCAAAAACCTGTTACAATTTTTAGAATAAAATTTAAAATAAACTTACGATAAAATTGTCAGACACCAATAAATGAACATCTCTGCCATGGATTCGTAGTCCATTGTGCTATCAACTCACCAAAAGAAAACGTAGAACAGAATACCCTATGAGATTTCATCTTCATTTTTCAAAAGTCAATGGTTTAAATCATGAATGTTATCTCAAGCTGTTATATGTCCGCCATGGAACATCTAAAGGACTTTTTCTTTTGAAACTGATATCTACGATATAAATTTTTATTAATTCAGTTCGATAATCCCTAAAAAATTAATATAGAACCATAGATTGTTTAGGAAAGAATTTGCCTGATTTCTGAAAGTATAATTTCCTCTTTAAATGCAAGTAAATTTAAGTGATTTCACTCGACACAAAACTCAAGGGCTATGAAAAGATAAAAGATAACAAATTAAATCTGTATGTATAAAGTGCTCGCTACATTTATTTCAACCATGTGATAAAGTATATATTCTAGACGGGCTTTTAACCTGTGTTAGCTGTATGCATTTACACAGTGCTTGATTTGTACACAAGTGCCGGAACTGTAACCCATTTAATGTGATTAGACCCTATTTATGTAACTATTTATGCCAATATTTTTATACTTCTGAAAGAGAGGTGCTGGAACGTCGTTCCGCCACAAATTGAGCACTGCACTTGCATATACTTTTCAATAAAACACACAAAACAAAACCTCTGTAAAAATGCTAAGAATAGAATCTTACCTCAGCGATCTCCGCCACATACATAGGAACAGCTGTGTAAATTATCCCCCCTCCTACACCAGCCAACACTCGAGCTGCGTAGATGAGCGGCACAGAGCGAGCAAACAACAGAATCAACCAGCTGATGATGATGCAGACGACGGATGCTGTGATGGACCACTTGCGACCCACACGGTTCACAAGGAACCCAGCTGCAAACGGACCGAAGATGGCTCCGAAGGCGATCAGAGATCCGATCCATGAAGCCTCTTCGTCATTGATCCATACAATGTCATTGGGAACTTGCAGCTTCGGAAGGGTTGGGGAAGTCCAGGTGAAGCAGTTTCCGATGGCAAATGATGCGATGTTGGCTGTAAAAAGATTGGTATTGTAGTTAAGAAATGTTTAAAAATTCTTTTTTGTGAATTTATTATTGATGTTTGTATTTACATTTTTAAAGCAATTGGCAGACTCCTTAAGCTTGCATTTGCCTGTGTCTTTGTTTCTAGAGACCCCAAGAGTAAAAGTAGTAATGGTCCTGCAGCTAGGTTTTACCATGAATCAGAGCATATTTTAAGGGATGGGCGACAGTGGCGCTGGGATTACCGGGTTGCCCCATCAACCTCCGGAAATTTTTCGGGGACCCCCGGAAAATTTTCACTTAAATTAAAGTGAAAATCACACATTTCTACATATCTTGTAATGAATTTTTTGATTATGTTTGCTTGTAAATCGTCCATATAATCTTACTCAATTACGATTTCTAGAAATATTTACACAATGTTATTTTTTAAATACTTTAAAATCAAAATAGCCTACATTTAAAATGTGAATCATTAAAAAGAAATGCCAGTGCCATCCATAGCCACTGGGCGACACTTGTGTCTCCCAGTTAACATGTTATTTTATGCCCTGCGAATTAATTATCATTAGGTAGTAACTGTAAGTTACTTAATGCCCTGTAAGTAGGGAATTTACCTAAAAAATCTTTTGGATAGTTAAATTATATATCAGTTTTATAAGTTTATTTTTAACTTAATCCCATAAAACCTGAAAAAAATTATCTTTGTGTGATAAGATTGCAAAATAGTTGACTGGTGTCATCTGGGGTCAGATAAAATGTGAACATTTAGCAACAGGTCATCATTTTTGTCGTAGGTCATTATAATCAATGATAATCTTAAAAGGCACTTCAATTGTTTACCTCTTCATCCTAAACTTGGTCTTTTTTATGACTTTGTACTTTTAATTTAACGAGATATTTATAAATTGCAGATTCCTTTGTAGGATGGTTTGTTAACTAATAACTATCATAATTAATACAATACAAATTTCTAAGAGAGTAGAAAAGACTTAATTAATTTCCGCCATAAACTTTGCTAAGTGGCAATACTTTATTTGATTTAAAACATGTTACCTCTGACTTTTCTAGATACTTGTATGTATTAAAACTGTACTGTACAGTATTTTTAATTTGATCCAACTTTTTCCGCACCAGCCATCTCAAACCTCTGTATGTAAGGGAATGTGTAAGTCAGTGTTGCCATGGTAATAACAGTAATAACAAACAGGTAAACATAAAAATTCGGTAGACGCTCTATAATGAATTAGTGCAACAGCTGTTTCAGTAGGGTGGTGCTGCGGTGTTGCCACTTTCGTCTTGCTGTAGCCTTATATTATAGGATATCATGTTATTTCCACTAAAAAAACATATGTTTCCAGAGATTTTTTTCAGTAGCATTTTTCGTTATAGTTCACAACGAAATGCGAAAACATGTAGACAACACTATTATCAACAAATATTTTTTTACATGTTTTCTTAAATCTAATGTAAACACAATTTTTTATCCGATATTATTCCTTTAATTTACATTTGTTACCCAAAATCAAACTTGGTGATACATACCAGCCACACAGGCGATGTACAGGTTGAATCGTGATCGTCCCTCGACCATCGTAGTTGATCTGTACGGAGACAGGTTCTCTTGTTGCACCAGAGGTTGCGCCAGTGACCCTGCGCCGTCTTTGCCCTCGGCGCCGTTCACTTTGCTCAGCTCCATATTTCTGACAGTGATTGATAGTTCGATAACTGAGGTTTACATTGGATATCTCGGCTCTTAAAGTTATTTACCTATGCAGTTCAGCTTAACGTAAATCAACCGTAAACAACCTAGTAAACAAACCCCTTAGAGATTAGGAGTTTTTAAAAGATAAGTTCTGATTGGAAGGAGTGAGTGGGTGTGAGAAAAAACATTGTTGTAAGTCATTAAATTTTCAAAAGGGTGAGGACTGCTTAAAGTTTCCTCTGATGTATGAGGTCATACAACACAAAGACGTTTGTGATTGGTGTAATTCAAACTGGTGCCTTCAGAACACCATACACTCTAAACACTCGGTCAGGTACACACACACCCTTTCCAGTAAAAAAATCTTTGTCACCTGTTATTTTTAGATGGATAAATTATTATTGTTAAAATACAACAAATTAGATAGGAATAATCATAATCAATTTTGATGAGCAGATCTTCTTTGCAAAATAATTTATTGATTTCCAGATTTAATCGTTTTTTTGTAGGCTACACACCTGAAATCTGACATGGTAGCAGTTTTAATATAATCCACATTCAAGTGCTGAAATCACTGAGATAAGGCTTATCAAACTTAATCTACCCCACTCTATCAATCCTCTTGACATTTTAAACCAACTCTACAAATCCCCATGAGCTATAGTGATTTACTTTACGTATTTTGATTCCATGCACATAGGGTTTGTTGGTCAATTAAATAATGTACATGATCATTATCATTAATTTATCAATTACTTGATATGGGGATGCCACATATGGTGCGAATTTTAACGCAAATTGAGTGAAGGATGAGTGTAGAATGGTGTGAGATGATCTGTGTAGCTTTGTTACTGACTAAGATCAGCTGTTTCATTAGTCAATATCATTTATTTAAAGCCCAATGATCAGGGACAGCTGGGTACAGTTATCAACAAAAAACTACTTTGGATTGTTTTAAATCTTAGTTTAAAACATGCTCCGTTCTAAAAGCGATGTCTCAAAAAGGAAAAGGACTTTTTCTAAGTTGGTCTGTTTACGATGTATTTTGATTAGAGTTAGAAATTGTTGTAAGTGATATGATTTTTAAATATAATCATTTGAGTATGAAGGTTCTGAATGCAAACTAATACAGCTTTGAAAGAAAAATAAAAAACGATGTTGGTTGAATATGTTTTTATCAGCTCAAACATGATTAATATTTAGAGTAAGGTTTAAAAACATCATGGAAGATTAATTTCTGTACCATGAAACTGCATTTTCCTTATAATGTGTTATTCCCCATAAAATGTTCTATTTTGAAAATGTCTTTGCCACCCTACCAATAATTTCACACCTTGATACAAAAAAAGTACAAGCTCATGTATAAATGGAATGTTTACTTCTCGCTAGTTGTACTGTATTTATAGTCAATGCTTGCAATGATTGTATAACAATTTGGTATAATATTTGTTTAGGGCAGGGATATTTGTATGAGACTAAAATTAAACATTATTTACTAATTGTAGTTTGATAACATGACCTTCAATATGTAATCATAATCTCTCTACGTCACGGCTTTCTTATTGCCTTATTCTTTATACTTCCATCAAGAAAAGTTGTTGAAAAGACAGAAATAATAAAGTCAAATCATGGATTATACAACTGTACAATTGTCATCTAATTGGATCAGCTGAGGTCAATTACAGAGTATTTACTAAAAATAAACATTATAAATAAATATATTAACCAAATTACATGCTCTATTTAATGTACGAGTACCAGCTGTTTGAATGGGTGTCCAACACAGATGTTTAAAATTAATATAGATGATTCAAACACGCTACAAACTTGAAACTCCACATGTCTTTGGAAAAATTATATTAATGCAAGAATCAGGGAAAATATGACTGACAGTAATAGTTTACTAAGTCCAATGCCCGGTGTGAACGGAAATGAAAGTGAAACCAGCATAGATGTTTACACCACACATTTTAACAAAACCGTTGACAATCCGGAAATGAAAATGAAATCAGCAAAGATGTTTACACCACACATTTTAACAAAACAGATGACAATCACAACACATGGCGAGGAATTGCTGACCACTGCATGGTGTTTTAATCACCTGATACTTGAAACAGCAACAACAAACAAATTTTTATATGTAAATACCCCCGCTACAGCAAAACTACTCTTTATTATTAATTGAAATTACCACTATATTTTTTCCTTATTAGTAAATTCATTAACTGTAAATTCATATAGTCTGTAGAAAACATTAAGTTTTACGTTGAGAGTATAGAACAATCAGTATTTTTAGTATTTAAAACCCTCTGATAATGTAAACTAAACAGATATTTATTAATATGAACGGATTTTAAAAATAATTGTGGAAGAAATTTTAGCTATATTATAGTAGAGTTTACAGAAATACCACACACACTATAGGTAAGAAATCAGTTATAGTGAAATGTTTTAGAAATTCATAAAAAATTAAATTCAAAAGTTTACGATAAGTAATAGGTAACGAAATGTAGACCACACTGTATGGCATTGTTTAGTAAAATGTATTTTCACTCAAATTTTATATTTTTGATAATTTATTTTTATTTCCTCTTTGAACTGAATATGTACAACACTATGGGAAGTAAATTACTATAATTTGTTCAAGACAAATATATAAAACCTGTGAATACAATAATTTCTTTTAGACATGTTTTATGAAGCTACTATTTGTATCAGGACCTTAAAAATAATTTTAGCAATGCTTTTACATACAAAACATTAAGATATTGAAAATCTTACAACCATTTTACAGAGTTAATTTTAATATTAATCACTTCATCAAAGGGTTAAAGATTATTGTTAAACAATTTCGTAAATATGTTAAAGCCTAAGCTATCAGATGTTTACCAGTTACGCTGAGGATGAAACGTAAACAGATCTCTACAAAGCTAGGAACCGTTTCAACAATGAGATTTTCAAGTCTCGGATCTGGAAATAGAAATTTTATAGCTGGAGAACTTGGACTTGATTCAATAAGACACTGTATTGCAATAGTGTATAATGTATCAAGTTTTTTTATCAAAGTAAACAATTTTTTTACTTGAATCATTAAATTGTTTTTAAGAGATTTCCACATAAGGAACTGCTCATTAACATAATCTAGTCTTTATGGTTAGACCTAATCTGGGACCTTTACACTTTTAAGTTTTAGGGTCCCTAAAAATTATTCAAAACTGCTTGAGCGTGTTGATTAAATGTTTTTGTTATATATTGCGCTAAAATTTACAGAGCGTACTTTGGCAAATCATCCTAAGAGAAGCCAAAGTCTGCAAATAGATTATTTTATTTAGGTAATGAAATGACAAATTAATTAAATAGTAAAAAGTAAACATCAAAACATACTGTAGTCTAATCCACAGAAGATTTTAATGTTTTTAAGAAAAAACTTAAAAGCTTAATGCTGTCCAAACCATTGTACTCTCTAGATGAGTTTTTTTTTTAAATTAATGTAATGATATAAACTTATTTCTATGTCTATTTCATGTATATTGCAGTGAAGTTATTAACATATAATGGTTTTGTATAATGTAGTAAGTTAGAAAAAATTTTAATTGTCGCTATTCTATGTACACATGTATGAAAAATTAATAAAGTTATTTTGAATCTTGAATCTAATTGACTAAACAACAAAAGGTAGAAATACCTTTAACATGTCTCCAGTTGAACCTTAAGGAAGACAAGTTTAAATCCGTAAGGGAGTATTTAGTTAAGCGAATGGTCAGTTAAAACAATACTGTATTTATTTTATTGTAATGTTCTGTGTCAATTCAAAATAAAATCTATCAACAGGAAAATAAATGTCAAAAACATTGATCCTGCCAATACAAAGCAACAAATATTTTTCTAATCCAGATTCATTTTATGCTGTCTAAAGGTTAATCAATTTTTATTAATCTATTTAAAAATTAATCACCCTCTATAATAAATAAATCTATCTAAAGGTAAATTAATTTCTAATTTGAATCCATATTCATGGTATAGATTTACTATTGTATACCTAGTATTTGAAATATTGTTGTAAATTAGTAGTTTAATGCATCCAATAATTTTCTTAAACTCTCATTTTTTAATTATACTTATTTTCTAAGCTTAAACATTATACCATTTAATTCAACTAAATTTTACTTTAAACATTCAAATACTAAAAAAAAAAAAAAAACACAACAATAACATAGAAAAATTATGAGAATCTAATTATTAAAAACAATCACCTGTTGATTATTAATTTATTTTAATAACTTACCTTAAACAGCTGATTAGTTTGTTCACTGATCACTTATAGCAGATCACTCTAAACTGAGCTTTCATCACAATCTTATCACTCTGCTATAACACAACCGAAGTGTAGAAGTACGCAGGGACAACTGGGTATACATTGATTGAATGGCTTAGCTTTGCCTCGCACGCACATGTCAATGATACACAGAAGATGACTGCTGTGTGCGTAAATATACTCTACCTGTACAAAACAACAGGCATAGCAGTTTTGTTGTTTGTCTAAACAAACATCTAAATGCTGTTATTCTTTTGTAATTGTTGTGTCTACAAAGTTTGTGTTGTTTAGGAAAGATATTCTTTACTATTATTTATAAAATGTTAATAATGATGTTGTTTGTTTTCAAACTATATCTACCATTATTGTCTTTTCCTGCCATTTTTTAAATGTATGAAAAAAAAAATCAGAAACCCTAATTCTAAATAACAAATAAACTCTGTAGATGCATAACAATAACTCAAAAATATTTATTTAAAAGA